AATGTTGGTCCCTGACAGAGTTGGAACGAGATTTTTATACCTTCACAGTCAGCTTTCGGCAAATGGGGAACAATACAATCAGTTTTTGACAAGAATGAGAACAATGGCGACAACGGGAAGTTACAAAATCACATAGCAGCAGTTAAGCAAGCGATATACAGAAGCAGATTTGGTTAGCAGTAAGTTTTATCTTTTAATTTACACCTTTTAGGCAATCTTTGCCCATTACTCGTAGGTAAGCTCTTTCCATTTTCCGAGGGAAATTTTCTGAGACAGCTGCTAGACATTTTGAATGGGCTAGAGCTCAGGGGAGCTAAGCCTATCATGAATGCCCTGAGACAGCTGATTATTCTAATGTTTAGCTGTGTCATGCAGATCTGGAGCCTAGAGGAGTCATGCCTATCCTGAATGCCCTGAGAAAGCTGATAGATCTTTCCACTATGTCAGGAGCCTGGGGGGTCAGGCCTAACACATTCTTAGTGTCAGAATGGGCAAAGATGAGTTAAAGTGCATTTGTCAGACTCTGTTGCAAATTCCTTCCATGCCTTATTGTAAAAGAATAGCAATTTGTTGAGGCTCTGGATAATGCTCCACACTTGGAGGATTATGGGCACACCTTGCAAAGTGGGAGGAGGACGAGGACAAATGTTTATTATTGAGGTGTAATAAAACAGACCCATGGAGAATGGAAGTCTGTCAGTACAATTTCATTTCATTTCATTTTAAAAAGTTGTATGCCACCTTTCATGAAATCACACACACAAGCCAAGAAGATTTTACAGTAAGAAATATTGAAATAGCATTTTAAAATTTCATCCAGAAATTAAAATCATACTGTTAAAATATACATGCTTAAAATCCCCAATATTTTTATCCAGCTATTATAACAATTTAAATAAATGACTAAGAAATTGCACATCTTTAACACACTAGGCAAATGTTTACTTCTTTTATGTAACATAGAACCTTTTGGGGATGGGACTTTGTGAGAATGTAAAATACATACTGACCTCTACATATGAAGGAATTGTTGTACCCGCGGTGTTACAGACGAGACCAGAGACCGGATGGTAAAGTAAAGAGGAGATTTATTCCTGCAGCAGGGACCACATTCATAGAGGAATGCGGCCACGAATGGAGTTGGAATGAGGTTTTTATAGCTTCACAGTGAGTTTTCAGTAAATGGTAAACAATACAATCAGTTTTTGGCAGAAATCAGAACAATGGCGACAATGGAGAGTTACAGAATCACATAGCAGCAATTAAGCAGGCGATATACAAAAGCAGATTTGGTTAGCAGTAAGTTTTATCTTTTAATTTACACCTTCTAAACAATCTTTGTCCATTACGGTGTAGGTAAGCTCTTTCCACTTTCCGAGGGGAATTCTCTGAGGCAGTTACTAGACATTTGAATGGGCTAGAGCTTAGGAGAGCTAAGCCTATCATGCACACCCTGAGACAGTTTGATTATTCTAGTGTTTGACTGTGTCATGCCTATCTGAAGCCTAGAGGAGTCATGCCTATCTGAAGCCTGAGCAAGCTGATAGATATTTTTATATCAGGATCCTGGGGAGTCAGGTACAACAAGAATCTTTAACCGAGTCTCCTTGGCAGATTGTAATCCCAGATGGGTCCTCATAGTCCTCCAGCCACAGTCCTGGCTGTAGTGCTGCTCGCAGATGTTGAAGGCTAGAGTTCATAAAGAGATTAAATGAGAGTCCCAAGCTTGGTTGGGAATGGGTATCCCCCAGTTAGTTGGTAGACCCATGACTCAGATGGATTGCCTCCATAGATATCGGGGGCTCTCCTTTCAAATGGTCATGCTCTCAAACAGATATGATGAGGGTGAGAGGAGGGCTGGAGCACTGCTTTCAAGCATTTGCTCACAATGAGAAGGCTGAGTACACTACCAGTTTTTCTGCTCTTAAAGGAAAGGTTGCAAAGAATCTGGTTTAGCTTGGGAATCATATGCATCTTACAAAGCAAACAAAGCTGAATGCTAATTCTCCTTGTGTGGAAATATTTAGCTGCAAACCAGCTCAAATAATCACATGGACACATTGGAGGTTTCTTGTACAGGTTACCATTTAGAATTTGGAGGTTAAGGAGGTTTCATTAGCTCCTTAACAACTTAAAAGCAAGTTTAGATGGTTTTAAATAATGTTTTAGGCCTGAAGGGGAATAGTTCCTAGAAACTGAACTTAAAATCCACTTGGAGGTCCGGCATCAATATACATCACAGTTGCTATATAGAGATTATGTTCAGATGAGTAGACCTGACCTAGCTCTGATCTCATTTTAGCCAGTATTGAGCTGGCATACTTGGATTTACCTTCTGGGATTATGGTAAACATGAGTGAGTGCACAAACTGCACCCCTCCAAAAAATGCTGTTTTAATGATGAATTTTCATATTATTTAGGATATGGATCTATTTGTGGTTGGCTAGCCCCTCTCTGAACATGCTTACATTGTGTGGGAATGGGAAATCTGGCATGTCTCTATGTTACTGTAAGTTTGGAGAGTTTTACTGGTAAGAATAAGAGGCTTTCTGCCACATCTGAGATTTTTTTTTAAATCTTGGTTGAGTTGAGGGGGTGGCTTCTGTGTTCAGCAGGAAAAGCCCATAGTCATTTTCTGTGCTTACAGATGTACCAGTGTGCAAATTGTATTGCTCCACACATATGTTGATAGGTTTTTTTGGAATGCATACAAATGGTATTTCAGTAGTAAGATGATAGGAACATCTAAGTGTGTAACAAGAGACAGGCTAGAGATGGAAACATCCTGTCCTGGCAAATTCTTGTGGGTATCCTCTAAAATACCAGGCCTAGTTGCTGATATTCAAAACCTGATGGTTTCCCAGAAGTACCAGTTATAGTCTTTTAATTGGACTTTCCCTTTGAGGGCTGGCAGAGGCTCAGGGTAGCCCTGGGAACAGTGGGAGAATAATCTATGGAATGTGCTAAATAATGAGGTAGGACTCATAATAGACCTTCCTGAAACTGCTGAGAAAAACGGCTGTTAGATGTCCTAGCATTAATATTTACCACCTAAACATAACTGGAAGAAGGATATCATTTTAAATTTTTCTTTTAAAAATTGCTTTCAGGATAGGAGTAGTTACATTCTGAAATAGTTGCAGGATCTATTATTCAGTTTTTTGAAGCTACATAAATAGATCATGTTTTCAAAGATAGCTCTGAGTGCTATCTAGAGTCATTTTAATGTTTGTAAGTTAAGCTGACTTCATGCTGCCACCATCCAATACATTTCTTTACATCCAGCTAAATCTGAAGGAATTGCAGGCCAGTTCATTGACAGTTGGGTTACCAAGCAAGAGCACTAAACCTGTAAGAAGCAGAAAGATGAAACTGCTTCACTGCATCCTCTCTTCTCACCACTATTTTCATCCTTGGGTGTCCTAACTCAGAACAGGATAGTTGCTAGTGCTGCATTCCCTTGTAGTTATTTATGTAGGCATGCAGTGCTTCTTTCATTCCTCAGTCGGAACTGTGGGGCTTGGGTTTGTGTGATGGAAGACAATGCTGTTCTGCTGAGAGAACATGTATTAACAGGTAATGGACTGCAACAAAACAGATTTGTTTTAAAGGGTTCCTGCTAACATCCAAAGCAGGCAGGTTGAACATGGGCAGAAGAGTTGATGGTCTGGAAAGAAGGCCTCTAGTTGAAAGCTTTGTTTAGAAACTTTTGCTTCCCAGGAGGGCTTTCAGGAGAAATTATACCAGCAACGTGCATCAGCATCTTTCACCCTTCAGCCCTCCCTAGTTTACTATTTATTTGCTGCTGCTGCTGCAACAGCCCTCGGGGTGAATCATCCTCCAGAAAAGAAGGGGGCAAACGTGAAACAGATTTGTATACAACTGTGCATGTGCTGCTGTAAGTAGATGTAAATTTAGAAATAATTTCTATAATCTCAGTAGAAAGAGCAGTAAGTCGCACCATAGTGGAAAGATTGTGGGCAGGGGATCTGCGTGAGTGACGGTTCAGTCTGCTGTCCAGGTGCTAATAATTAACAGGCACCTTCAAGGCCACTGGCCTCTCCATCTAATGATTCTTTATCTTTAAATCACACTGGACTTGACTGCCTTTCAGAGAGAAGTAGGCGGGACATACTGTATTTGATCAAAACTTTTGCTATCAGTACTGAAATGTTTCCAGGCCTGTCATACAAATCCATGGCAATTATCACCATCAATATTATATAGGTTCAGAGCTGTTGCAAGGAGCATACAGCAGCAATAGGGACAAAAACTGCTTGGATTTATACACAGCAGTCCTCTCCCACCCCACCCCACTTTGTTGTCTGTGCTGCTGGTAAAACTTTGGTTCTCAGCTTGTTGAGTGACGTAGGTGACCATCTGTTCTTCTATAATCTTTGCCAATTTGCAGGTGGACTGTGTGTGCTTATGTATGTGTGTGCATGCATGCACAGACAGACCTTTGCATGCTTGAACCTTTGAGTAACTAGATTTGCATTTCTCTCCCCAGATAAGCAAGAGCCCTGTCTTTGTCCCTGGGGTTTGGGGACCCTATTACTCAGCGATGGTGCCAGGTTTCTGGCTAAATGAGGGAGGCCAAAGTGCTACAGGTAAACTGGTGAGTTTGACTTTTTAGGCTCTTTACCACACCAGATTGGCTCAGTTATACTCCATGTACCCCAAAATGTATAAGTGTCCAACATGTACCATTATCAAGTATATATGTAAATATTTTGGTATAAATTCACTCAGTTATATTCATTTACTTACAGAATTCATATGCCAGGATGAGAAATACATTAGGGTTTTAAAGATCATTTAGACTGCTTTGTTTGATTGTCATATTAGTTCGGATCACAAAAGGAACTTGCCTATTTCCTGTGGCAACTAGCTTTACCTGTGTGTGTGTTCTTATGGCTAATTGGACCTTTTATATATAGTGTTATCTGCACTTTTGTACACCAAATGAGAATATAAATATGTCATTAAAAGTTTTAGGCCTGAGGGCGCAATCATATGCATATTTAGACAGAAAATTATCTACAGCTTCCAGGAGTTGTAGGACTTACTCTTGGCTAGACGTGCACAGAATTGTGCCTTAAGTCACATATGCACGTGCTTAAACCCTCATTGATTTCCAGTTTGGCTTCCTTCCAGGTATAATTAGGGAATTTTCAATTTACCTTTGTTTCACTTCAGGTTAAGCTACTGTCAATTGAACCCTACACATGTTCACTCAGAAGTAAGTCCCACTGAGTTTAGTGGCATGTACTCACAGGTAACTTCGCATAGGATTGTGGCCTGTGTTAGGAAACACCATGATCTTCATGCAGAAATAGGTACAGTTCAGTCACAAAAGTATTTCCAGAAAATTTTCAGGTTAATTGGCTGGCTACTCAGCTTGCATTGTGCAGAATTGTAAAGGGCTCCTGTCTTTTTTGGAGGGAGAAGCCATATTTTCTGTACTAACAGACTCACATATGCATTGTGCTTGTTTGGTGGTAAGTTTCTGATCAGCAGTGTCCTGCAAAACAGAGCAAACACGTCTGTTTCCAGGAATGCATCACATTTCACCTCTAACACAGCAGTACCTCTAAGTCACTGCATGCCCTCCTGGGCAGATCCATAGGATAAAGCAAACCAAAAGATAATTGTTGTATATTCTTGAAGGCTTTGTTTACATAAAATGACATATTTTGATCCAGTGCTTATTTCTCTGCACCAGCACATTGTAACCACATACAACTCAGCCATTTTTAAATATTCATTATAATTTCCTTGTAACCTCACTAGACCTCATTTAGGCCAAACCTCATTGTAACCTCATTTTCTCACATACTCTCTCTCTCCTTCCCTCCCTCTCTTTATTAAGATAGAACACATTGTCCAAGGACATGCCGCTTTCCCAGAACTACAAACAAAATCTGCAGCCAGGTCAGATCATCATTTTATTTCTTCATCAATTTTGGTCTGTCTTAGAAATATCATTTTGGGTGGAATCTAAAACTATTTCAACTGGAATGTTCCGGTTTAATTGAGATGTGAGTTAGGCTGTTCTCACTATATTATTTCCCTTTCGGAACTCATTCTTCATCCTTTGCATTCCCAAATATGACCTCTTTGTTTTGTTTTGAACACGCCCACTTGAGGACTGATCTTGTGGCCATTTCTGGGGTACTGAAATCACCAGAAATGGGCTTCGTCTAGTTATTTCAGCCTTCTAAAACACCTAAGAGAGCACTTGAACAACTTAGCAGTTCTGGCTTTTGAAGATTACGTGGAACATGTTACTTGGATATGCTTGGACATTTTTCAAAATTACTGCAAACATACATTTGTAGAGTTTGCCAACTTTGCTTATAAGAAAAATCAGCCTTGCATAATATATATAATGCAAGAATAGATGGTTAAAATGTTTGTGAGGCGAACATTCATCTTCAAGCTAAAGTAGCTTTTGCCGTATACCAAGTAGCTTTCCTGGCCTTTTTGCTTTGCACATCAGAGCCTTTGGCCAATTTCCACAGATTTCTTGGTCGGGCAGCATGTGTACCAAGTTATGGAGGAGTCTTTGGCTAGCAGAATTTCATATTTAAGATGTAAAACTGTTGAATTCTAAGAATATGAAACAACCGGCACTGTGTTGTTACTGGCAAGGCATTTCTAGTGGCCAGCGATCCTAGTTTACCAAACACTGAAATCGAAGAAGGATGTGGTCAAAGGCTGGACCAGCCACCTTCTTTGAGCAGAATAGTGCATGGATGCTTACAGAAGCAGGAGTGAGAAAAACAATAGCTCTGGTGTGTTCCAAAAACATTCATTTTAAAAAGACAGACTGCACCTTCCATAAAGTACAGTTTTGCAGTGGTCAATAGCTATTGAGAGCTACCAAATTACCTATCCTTTGAAGATCTTTGGAAAGACATTTTTTTCCTAACAGAGAAAAAAAAGAACTTCTTAAACATTTGAGTGCTGATGCCTGCAAAGAATGTTGATTGCCTCCAAGAATAGGGCACACCTTACTTGTGGCTGGCCAAGCCAGTAGGATGCACCACAAACACGAGCTGGTCGTCCCATTCCTTTTCCTCTTCAGCCCTCTTTTCATGTGCTAAGTGTTGTCCATGACCATCCTTGTCATGCTCTTGTGCTGGCTGCTGTTCTGTTGGAAGAATTTTTGATGTCTATGTATATAAATAGAAAATTTAACCCAGGTCAAGGTAAGTGTACATTGCAAATTGGTGTAGTGGGACTGGAATTCAGGCAACCTGGGTTCTAGTCCTTGCTCAGCCATGGAGCCAACTGGGTGGCTTTGGGCCAGTCACAGACTCTCAGCTGAACTTACTCCACAGGGTTGTTGTTGTGGGGATAAGATTGAGAGCACCAGGAGGAAAATGATGTAACCCTAAAAAAAGGTGGGATAGAAATCTAATAAATAAATAATTTCATTGTAAACAGTCTGCTATACAAACTCAAACAGGAACCAAAGCGATATTTCTAATGTTTTGAACTTCCAACCCAGAATTCACAGGGCAAATATTTTCCCTATGCTGGTCCCTCTGGTACTTCCTCCAGGGTAATTATTTGGTCCTTGGCTTTTTCAAGTATGCAAATGAAGTAGCTTGATTAATTTCTGAGACAATCCACATTGATTCCCATGCCACAACCCCATAATGCTATCTACCCTGTCCCACTTAGGTGGTTACTGTTGGTACTACACAATTAGCAACAAGTGAGGAAGAGGAAGGGAAGGAGGCATTCCACTCTGGCTCTTGTTATGAATCAAGCTAGGTCCAACAAGTTCTGCAAATAGAGGTTTGGAGGTTGATTGGATGAAACATATGGAAGCTGTGGAATCTGAACTAAAGAATATGAACATTAGTTTGTCTTGTGTTTGAAGCAAGTATTCCTAGTACTCAAGACTTGTAATCTCAGGCCAGGATGGTAGCATCTCTGTTTATTAGCATAAATGCACCTTCAGTAGGGAATTACAGAATAAAAGAAATAGTAGCTTGGCTCAGGAGAATGAAAGCAACCTCAGGTGGGTTTCTTCCTACTTGATGTATTTAAAGCTAGCTGACTACACTGTGCAGTAGTTCCAGCTTGGAAGATAAAGGGTGGAAGCACTTCTGGATTGGGCCAGGTTTCCTTCCAAGGTTCTACAGTAGCTAATGTAGAAGTTCCCTTGTTAACTAGATGGGTGGACAGTGACTTGGCAGTCAGGCAGGCATTGTGTATCCATAGTTTTGTGAGAGCTACTCATTTTAGTCTGCAGAGGAAGCCCATGTGCAACTCCTGTGGTCCTTCTGCAGCCACCCAGATCCATGTCATGTCTGAACTTTTCCACAATGTCAGCAAATGCAATTTATTCCAATTTGAGATGCAACACCTTGGAAAACTGGACATGTGGGTTGGTAAAGAGGTTTATAGCACTTTCTATTATGGGGTTATATTCGGCTGGTTTTCTAATGCTTTCCAGATGGCAATCTTCTAATGCAAACATAGTAAACAGATCACATAGAATTGCCATCTCATCTCTTTACACGTGGAACATCAAGTAGCTGTTTTGAATAGCAAGAAGCCAGGTGGGAGCTGAATAACCAAGTCTGAAATTCCATTGAGATCATCTTACACCCACCTGTTAAAGCACCTATGGCAGAAAATGCTCATGTCCAAGGTGGATTCTGTTGTTGGAAGACATCTGCATGAGCCGTTTGATCAAGCTCAACTATTCTATTTTCAGCCTGAAAATTAATGCTGACACTGAGCCTTGCTCTGGTTTTGAAGGCTTTTGTTATATTTGTTTTCAAAGTACATAAAACAATTAATGATGTACGGTAGCTAAGAGTTTGAACTCTGAATTAGATAATTCACAACCCGACTCTGAGATGAACTAGGCAGAACATCATCTCTCAGCATCAATCCGAGTTCCACAATTTCAGGATAATCATAATAAAGATTACATACAGATTGATAGCATATCTGCAGCATGAGGTTGCAGAAGGCCTGTGGTTCATGCCTTAGGCCTGGCTCCATTAAGCCTGGACTCTACCATGAAAATTGAGAACACCACACCGGGTGGCCCCAAAAGCATTTGATGGGGGACATGCAACAGGAAGCAGACACAGTGTCAACATCTAGCATGGAGCACTGTATACCGAAGCTGATGCTTGTTACCACACTTTTGTTTTCTTGGGCAAAAGCAGTACGCAGTGACTTTCCTGCTGCTGACACTCCACTCACTCAGACTCTACTGGAGTGTCTTTGGGCCCATGAACTCACATTCTGCCCTGGGAAAATAAAGGTGATGGATGTGGCCAGACCTTCAGCAACAACAGCAGGTGTTTTGCTGTGGAGTGTGTCTGCTTTACTAACATTTGAAGGAGAAAATGGGACCTCTCCCTGCACTAACAGCTTGCCAACTTGAGGCAAGAGAAGCAGGCTAGAACAAACAGGGCAGCAGGAAAATAAGGGCAGAACATGGATGAAAAGGTGGAATGAAAGCAGCAGAGCAGTAGGGAGTACAAAGTGGAGTGGCAGCTCCTCATCCCCACTTGAGCAACTGCAGATCACTTGGCCTTAGCACTTGCAGAGTATGTGGGTGTCTGAAAGGTGGTCAGGTAGCAAGCCTAGGACATACTTAGGTTTTAGTCTCTGGGAGCAGAGGGTGACAGACTGCATCCCTTAAATTTCTGTATGACTTAAGTATCTGAAACTGTCTGGTGACTTACAATGAGGCAGCAAGATATTGTAGGCTGTCTTCAAACATGTTTGGACATTACAAAGGCATCAGGCCCTGACGAGTTACACCCGAGAGTACTTAGAGAGTTGGCAGGGGTTCTCTCATGCCAGCTGGCCTCCATTTTTGAGACCTCGTGGAGAACGGGTGAAGTTCCAGAGGACTGAAGGGTGGCATCAGTGGCCCCAATTTTCAAAAAGTGTAGTAGAAAGGACATGGGAATTATAGACCGGTTAGCCTTACGTCCATTGTAGGAAAAACAATGGAAAGGCTCATAATAGAGAGAGATCTAGTGATGCTAGATAGGGAAGGGAGGCTGACAGCCACACAACACGGCTTCCGCAAAAACAGGTGCTGCCAGACAACCCTTGTGGAATTCTATGACAAGGTTTCTAGATGGCTAGATGGAGGGGATGCAGTGGATGTGGTATACCTGGATTTCAGCAAGGCCTTTGACAAAGTGCCCCATGATATCCTGGTGGAGAAACTGAGAAGTTTTGGGACACACCAAAGCACCGTCCGGTGGATTAGGGCATGGTTGACTGACCGAAAGCAGAAGGTAACCATTAGCGGGGAATCATCGGGATGGCAGCCAGTGACAAGCGGGGTCCCCCAGGGCTCTGTCCTGGGGCCGATCCTGTTTAATCTTTTCATTAACGACATGAAAGAAGGGGTGAACAGTCTGCTGATCAAATTTGCAGACGGCACTAAAACTGGAGCAGTGGTCACAACTGAGGAGCAGGTACTCCAGATCCAAAAGGATCTGGACAGACTATGGAAGTGGGCAGGAGACAACAGGATGGCGTTCAATGTGGATAAGTGCAAGGTCTTGCACTTGGGGCATAGGAATAGCTGTCATAAGTACAGGTTAGGTGACAAGTGGCTGGAGAGCAGCACTTGTGAAAGGGACCTCGGGGTGCTGGTTGACTGCAGGCTAAACATGAGTCAGCAGTGTGATGCGGTGGTCAAGAGGGCGAACACCACCCTTGGTTGCATAGCCAGAAGTGTGGTTTCTAGATCAAGAGAGGTATTACTACCACTCTACACGACTCTGGTGCGCCCGCAACTGGAGTATTGTGCTCAGTTTTGGGCCCCTCATTACAGAAAGGATATAGCCAGGTTGGAGTCAGTGCAGCGTAGGGCCACAAGGTTGGTGGCCGGTTTGCAGGGGATGGGGTATGAGGCGAGACTGAGGGAACTGGGTCTCTTCAGCCTGGAGAAGAGGAGACTCAGAGGGGATATGTTGGCGACATACAGGTATGTGAGGGGATGTCACATGGAGAAGGGTAGAGACCTGTTCTCCCCTGCAGGGGAAGGCAGGACACGCTCCAATGGAGCAAAGCTCAGGGAGCCAAGGTTCCATTTGGATGCCAGGAAGCACTTCCTGACAGTCAGGACCCCGAGGGTGTGGAATGGGCTTCCACGAGAGGGTGTTCAAGAATAGGCTGGACGTCCACATGGTGGGCATGTCGTGAGTGGAGCCGGCTGGTGCCGGAGGTCAGACTAGATGGCCTGGGAGGTCCCTTCTGACTTGCTCTGTTTCTATGTTTCTATGTTTTTCCCACTAGGATATCTGATTCAGCCACTTAAAAATGCTGGAACAGATCAAGAGCCACGCTGAATCAGGCCAAGGGTCTATCTTAGGGAAGTATATGAAATGCGTTTCAGCTTGTTTTTGATCAGGATTTTATCTAGTTTGCACCTTCTCAACCAAAACAAGATTTGGGTTCAATCTGCAGTAAAAATCATGCAAGGGTGAACTTGTAATGTGGACTCCCCAAAAGGCATTTGACAAAATGTGTACATTTCAAAAAGAGCAGTTTTTGAAAAACACATACAGAAATATGCTCAAATTTTCATGTAAAAAGGAAAGGATAAAGCTTACAGTTTGATACAGATTTGTTTTGGAACAAGCTTCTAGACAGAATTTGGAGAACTTTTGTAAGTGTAAGTGCCAGTTTTGCTGGTCTCTCTGGTTCACATTTTTGTTCACACAGTGGCCAACCAGCCACCTGTAAGAAATCATGGCAGCTTATGGTTTCTCAGTGAAACCTTCCATCCGGTGCTCACTTTTCATGGAGAAGCTCCCTTCCTTCTGCTCATCCTCTTTCTCAGTGAAGTACTTTGTTGGAAAGCATGGGATGAATGGAAATGAAATAAGGCTACTAAAGAATTGGAGTTACTTGCAAAGCAATCAGTGTTTCCCCCACCCCACTCTCCTCAAGAAATCACATTAAACAACCTTTAAAGTATGTGAATAATGATATGAATTAGTTATTTCAATGTTTTCCAAGTGTATTTCATTTTGAATGATACCCTCCGATAGCAAACACATGGGAAGGCCTAATGGAAACAATGTGCAGCTGAATGCTTAAATGCATAATATAAATATACAGCTGCAAGGAGGTCATAAGTCAGGGTAGTAAACACATGCTAAATTCCCTCAGGGAGCTCATTAGTGTGTGGCTGAATGTACATGCAGAGTCTAAATGAATATCACTATTTAGACTTCCAAAACCAAGACAATGACTAATCAATTGTAATTAGGGGAAGATGCTCACATTGACCAACCTTTCAGCAAAATGCAGAGCTGGTATTGCATAGAAGTCAGAACTAAAGATAGAATTTAAAACTCTACACCTAATATTGTTCTTAGAATTTTATGAAGTGTGGGAATAGTAGCGTATTTCACTGGCATGTCAGTACAAGCATTATGAAGCTAGGTCACGATTCCCATTGATTTCAGTGGGGTTTGGCTTGTTTAACTTTCTTTGCATTTCACCCTCTGGGTGCATTCCAGAGAAAGTGAAGCACACTTAAATTCCACTGAAATGAATGGAAATTAAGCACACTAAGCATTCTCTGGATTGTACCCAAGGCTCCAATAGCTGGGCATGCAGTATTCACGTTATGCTTGCTAAGAGCCATGATTCCTAGGCACAAAAGGATCCCCATGAATAACATTTGACATGTATGCAGCTTGCTCTCTGGTGATCACATAAATTGAAGTTCTGTTTATGAGAGAGACAATTCTCAATTTTTAAAGGTAAATCCAGTGAGTGGATGGTCAGTAATCTGTGTGGCCAGTAAGACTAAATTAAGTCGTTGGCTATATACGGCTGTGAGTCTAAACATGCAGCTGGTCTACACAAAGTGTGGTTTACTCCCCAGTGAAGCTGCTTTGCATTGCAATATAAAGCACTTTTCTGGTGCTACTGAGACAAGTTCCTAATTCCACTTCTGTCCCTTTACTATTTCTCTCTCTCCAACAGTGTGTCTGGCAAGTAATATATTAATATTCTGTTCCCCCTCTCCTTTTTCAGTTTGGCTTTGCAGGCTTTTTGATGATTTGTGTGTGTCTTTTGTTAGGCGGCCAGATCCTGCAATATGTTCAGGGAATAACCTCGTTCCCTCACCCACCTCCACTTCGATTTTTCTTGTTTTTCTTTGCAGTGCTCAAAGTATATATGCATACTTGAACAGTCACCTGGATCTGATTAAGAAATCTTTGCCTGTGGGTTTCCTCACTGTTGATTTACATGTTTGGCCAGATTTCCATGGCAACCGATCTCCCCTTGCAGATCTGACTCTAAAGGGCATGGTAAGAAACAGCCTGTCTGTCACTGCAGAAGGGTCAAAACAGAACTATGGGGTAAAATAAGAGTGCCAAGTGAGCATTTTTGTTTTGAACATTTTTGTTCTCCATTGACAGGTGTGCCTCACATTTTGGGTTGTTAAAATTTGACAGGATACAAAATTTCAGGATATTCCTTTTGTTATTTGAATTAAGTGATAGAAGGCATGCTTTCACACATTTTAGTTGCCCTATTTATGGACTTTTCATATTTTTAGGATCTTCTGAGTGTGTGAAGCATTGATTTATAACAAACTTCAAATGGATATGATAGCTGTCAGTGGAGGATACTGTGGCATGTTAAAGACTCTTTTCTTGTGTCATCAGCCTTGGGCTGAACTAACTGCATGACCAGTCAAGAGAACAGAGATGCGGGAAATGCATTCTGATAAGAGGGCAAAGCATCATCATGAAAGAGCTCAGCCATGAAAGAGCTCAGTCTTTCAGTAGTCTTAAAGGTTCACTTGCGTTAAACTCTTCCTTCTGCATCAGTATTGCCACCCATGAGCCATTTCCCTTGTACTAATGGCACCCTTCTCTGCCTGCCACACAAAGCACCTTCTTGCCTGTAACTGTTTCAACATGTTAAATGTTGAATCTAGATGTGCTACCAAGATTTGCTACTTGACAGGGAACCACATCCAGTCCTGGCTCTTTGGGGGATATAATCCATATCTTTGCAATGTAAGTACATTTGTTGTGTTCAGTCTTGATTTTCTTAGCTGGCTACACCAAAAACATCTGAAATGCAGAACAAGCAGCAGGGAACATGAGGCAACTGTCAAACTCAGCAGACCAAAGCACTTTGTATCTCATCAATCTGAAAGCTGCCTACTTGCTCAATTTTGTGACCTGCCAGGAGCTTGAAAAAATCCTTGAACCAATCTTTATGATCCCAGCCCAAGAATTAAAAAATGGGGTTGCTCAAGCTCATACATAATTGTTGCAGTGGTTTTGCCTGCCTGGAGTAAAACACCTGACCAGCACTACCCTTTAGATGGCACATTTCCCATGTTCTTTTCCTTGGTATAGGAATACTGCATCTTCTGGTGGAGGTACAGTCTTCAATGAAGAAGTGAGAGGAGAATTAAGCATTGCTTACTTTTTATTACTGCCTATTCATTTGCTATGGAGCCAGATGAGATCTATTATAAAATTAGCATCCCCTATTGTGAACCCTGCAGTCAGGTGGGTGGCTCAAGATGAGTAGGGTAGAAATTTTGAAATTAGAATTCACAGTGAAAACAATGGAAGATTAATTGATTCATATTCCAATGCTTTGTGACTCTAAGTCCCAATCTATCTGCAGTTGCCCATCCCAGAGGAGAACAAGGTCTTCAGCATGACCATAGGCATGCTGCTTCCCAAAACAATTAATTTCTAATCTGGAAGTTTGCTTTAAAAAGGGATGTACTGAACTCTTGCATCAGTAAAATTTTCTTCTTATGTTCCCTGCAGGTGGTGGGATTGACATTATCTCAAGGCCTTGATGATCTTGCTCTTATCTATCTAGCAACAATTCAGGCCATTGCAGTAAGTAATTGAAAGCAAGCATTTTACAATTGTTTCCTTCATTTAAAAAAATATTAAGAAAGTTGAATCAATGTCACTTCATCTAGCATCATAAATTAATCATACCTATTTGTGAAACAGAAACAGACATCTAGAAATAAGTAAATTTCAAAGAAAGAATGGAAAAAGTTACTCTGGTGTTCTTATCCAGGTTGTTGAAGGTCTTTGGAAGAAAATTATTCTTAACATGTCCCATTCCTAGAATGTCTCCCGAAGATTTGGGAAATATCCTACTTTGGATTGTACAACCTTGAACAAATGGCCTCTTTAAATTGTGGCAGGGAAATGGGGGAATTTCAAATTTCTCCAGGGGGAAAGATAAATTCTCTAATAGTTTCTTAGGGATGGGACACTCCATTAGTAGTGGAAGTTGTATAGTTTCTTTTGTTTGATTGCTTTTCTGCTGTTGTGGCAAATGACAGCAGCAGTAAATTTTGCATCCCTTGGACTTAGCTTCATTCTAGGGCATTAAGGTAGTCTCTACAAATAATGGTTTTGGAAGAAAATTCTGCAAAATGGCCTTTTCCTAAGGAGTCAGGCAATTTAAAACCTCAGATATTCTCAGAAATTTCACCTCAGTTCTTGGCCTGCATCTCAGACCATTTCCCCTCTCCACCCTTCCAACTCAGGTTCATCCTATGCAAGCCTGCTTCTCTTCTACAACTATTACAGAACAGTGTTCAGTCAGGGAAGTTCCATTTGTTGCCGTTGAAACCCAAAGAGTCCCTATTGCATCTGGAAGGCAGGCATTTGTTCCTCATACCAGATATAGAACACCAGAAAGTGAATTTCATTCTCCTTTAAGACACAAGATACTGTTACTTCATTCTCTGGTGATTATAGGGTTGGGTATTCTAGTCTGTATCCAATCCATGTCAGTTTTGCCTATACTCATTGTAAGTTACTTCTGCCCAATTTCTGCATCAAAACACATTTTGTTTGCATTCACAACTTTCCCAGATGTATGCATTTTTGTATGCTACTTTCCTTGGTATGCACATACTAAAGAAATGTCTCTAATGTATACATTTTGGTATGCAATTTTTAGCCAAGAAGTGCATCACAGAATTTCAGAATGTACACAGTCCAAAGCATAGCTGTATTCCAATCCATATATTGGTCTGGAAGCTGCAAATTTGTCGGTTCATTTCAAAATGCAGACCAAATGGAACTCCCTTGTTTCTTAAGAGAATGCAGTAATTACAGTGGCTACCACATTTCCCCCCTAAACTAACAACAGGATGGTTAGCAGTAGGTGTGCTGTTAGTCATTGGAAATAAATTAAACTTTTTTGGTGTCCTTTCTATAAGGAAGGGAGTTAGAGTTCATTAAAGTGTATGGTCTTCTGGTAAAGCTAAAGTCATCACCTTTCGATATGTTGTTAGTATTTGTTGTTATCTTACCTATAAAGTCAGTAATTTTTTAAAGAAACAAAATATTTAACGATCTTTTGACCCCTTTCCAAAGTATTATGTAAATCAGGCTGGGCGGACTCCAGGTGTGCAAGAACTACTTTTTTACCAGAACACAGTATCTGCCACTTGAACTCTAGGGCAAAACATACAGCTAAAATTAAAGAATTCTGAACCAATGGAATTTATTTTGTGTACCAGCACTGAACAGAAGCCATAACTTTTCCATGAGAAAGTCCATTCCTGTTTCTCTTCCCCCTGTTTTCCTTATTTCAGCATTTTTGAGTGGGGGCAATTGTATTATTGATAGGATTGCTTAACAGCTGCAAATGTTTGCAAATCAAAGTCATCTGGAGGTCTACAGGAGGTCTACCTTTTGCAGGCCCATACGTTAAGTGCAGTGTAGTTATGCATCTCTCTGCTTCTATCTGAACTGGTGCCAACTTTGTTGTTACTCATTTGGAGTGGTATAACTCAGTTCTGTTCAATTGAAATGTAAATCTATAGCCTTGCAAGCACATTACCAATGTAATACAAGGCCTGGCACAAAACTGAAGTTCTTTAGTTTTCCACTGGCAAAGGCAGACACAGTTTTGTGTTCACTTGGAAGACACCAATTGGTGCTGTTCTCTGATGGAGGAGGGACAGGCGAAAAGTTGTACAGGCAGGGCGGATTGTTTTTGCTTTCAGCATCGTGTCGTTCCGTAAGGTCTTACAGGAAAAGTAGGTTCTGTGAACTCACTCCTCTTGCACGGTTTTAACACTTCCCCAGACAAAAACAGGATTACTCTAACCAAACCTAGAATACATTACTGCTAGTCCTATTATTGCTCTCTCGGCAGTGTTATACCAATGCACTTGGTACTTTCACGCCATCCATTTTCATTTAAATAAAAAATGCAAGTGCTTTCTTAGAAAATGAGAACTACTGATATTATCTTGTGAAAGAGATTACAGACAACAAGTTTTCAATGCCAAACAAGTACTGTGGCATTATTCTATGCTAATGAGGTGGAAGCTTCCTCAGTTGGATATCCTGGGAAAAGCATCTATTATTGTACAAGTGTTTCATTGCACATGGCTGCTCTCTGCTTTAAAACCAAGCCTTTGTGGATATCTCTTTCCTGTATCATCAACATATATAATATATAAAGAACAGGTTTTCTTCACACTTGATTCTTGCTCTGCAGCAGATTAAAGTAACAGAAAATTCGCTTGATAAGAATCTGCCATTTTCTGTAACATTCAGAAAATGCCCACTTTAATTTTTAAAAGTTTTGATATAATCATTTTGAAAGCTTAACTTGTTCGGAGAATAGCTTGCAGTATAAAGGTTAAACATATTAATGTACATTCATCATTTGTACTCCTCTAAGTAGTTGACATGTTGTACACTAGACTTAAAACATTCATAAAGCTTTGAAATCTGGTCGAAATTGTAATTTAGCTGCTAAATGCTATATCTTTTCATTTCACTTAAAGAACTTATGGGAAAATGAATGTTACATTTGGTGTCTCCCAACTTGCATTTGTAAATTAACTTTTAACTCAAAGTAATGGTTTTGTTTTAAACTTAAATGTGAACCATGTTTTTTCAGATAAACAGAAGAATATTTCTTAGAGAATTCTCTCTTTATACTGCTTAGAGAGTCAAAGTAAATGTGCCGAGTATGAGCAAGAAATAAACTTGTATTTGCAGGGGTGGGTGGGGGGAGTAAATATATGGCCATCTGTGTATGTGTTGAGGCCTGGAGATTCATGGAGATTATGGCAGAATATCCTTAGGGCCATGACATTATAAAACTTCAACAATTAGGAGAAGAGAGAGAGAGAATTTACACTTTCCATAATTGAAATTGTGGCCCTAGAGCTTGAAATGCCAGTCTTGAGTATCAATAAGAAAGTTACTGATTTCATTAGTTGCCCCTGTAGTTGTTGCAGTTTGCCAAAACTACCTATCTTAAATCAAAGTACACTTGAGATTCAATTGTGCCATAGAAAACAGCTGAAGCATAGCTTGCTTTACTTAAATAACCCAGTCTAGGTTATTGCTGTAGATTGTAAAACTTGCAGTGAACTTTGGCCATGCTTCAAAAGATGTTCAGGGTAAAAGTTGAGGGAATTCCTTAATGTCTGGGGGCTGGCAAATGGCAGATTTGGCAGGAATTTTGCTTTGGAGTTTTTGTCTTCTTCAACTGTAAGCCTGAAACACAAAAATTGATTTCAAGGTATACAGTCAGTGCACAAAGGCCCTGTCTCTATGATCAGGGAATGTGGGACAAAAATCCCATAAACCCATTTAAAAGTTTGATTTGTTTACACATTCAGAGGGTGAATCAGAGGTTGAAGCAAGTTGAAAGAGAGCACTCTTGTGCTGGGCTGTTATGCCTCATGGTTTGACTGTAGAGAAAACAAAAGTGTCTGAGATAGTAAGCAAGAGTGTGTGAGAGAAGACAAAATGGACATTATGAAGCAAACATGATTACTTCACTTTCTGCACTGTTACCCTGGCATTCCCACAACAGTGTGGATGGATGTATATATATTTAGAAAGCAAGACTGGCCAAGCTCTCTAGACAGATAATCAAAAGATAGATGCATAGAAGTGTATGCTATGCACGCTGCTATGAAATAGAGTTATGTAACACAGCTGTTCACATGTACCAGTCTTGTGCTGTTGGCCTGATGAATTAATGTATTCCTAATTCATCTATGCAGGAATTGTACAGGTTTAAATAAGTACTTTGAATGCTGATACTGTGACAAGCCAAAAGTTGGTTTACATTATCATCATATCATAAAATTCCATCTTCCTATTCTGTAACTAATGAGTAATCAGAATAATTCTTCTCATTAATTTAGTTTACCCTTTGATGCTTTGATTTTCAGCTGTGATTTATTGATCTTGAAATTTGTGGACTTTTTGATGTATTTTCAGAGTTGCACAATAAATTATTCTAGAGTAAATACAAAGTAAACCTTTTTCATTTAATTTTCTGGGAGCAGCAGTGGGGCATTCTTTGTTAAAGCTGTAAAAATGCTAAATCCAGGGATGTATGATCTATGCACAGGACAGGTTTCCATTTGTGCAGCTTTTCACTGTTCTCCTTGCCATCTAAGAAAACCTCTTTCCTGTCTCGCTGCTCATTAGGTGAGTTGCATGACTCTGGACCAGACCGAAAATTTTAGGACACATGAGCCAAATGATAAGCACAGGAAACACAATAAGATAAGAATGTGAAAATTGCTTTTCTGGCTCAGATTAATGTACATCTCATCCAACACACTGACTTGAACTGTAGGCAACCAGATATTTTCAGAAAACTCATAAGATGTAAGCCATGAAGGTAACATCCATGACTTTTTGTTTGATCCCAGAGTCTAGTACTCAAGAGACATACTGGCTTTAAACATGGAAGTGTCATTTAGCTCTCACAAGTAAGGCATTCTCCCAGAATTTGTATATCCCTTAATTAATTAATTGAACAACCCCTCCCCAAACTATCACCAGCAAAGAGAATGAATTCTCTAAGTTAATTATGTGCTCCACAAGCAAGTAAATGGTGTGTCCATCCTGAATTTAGTAGTACTTTTCCCAAGATTAATCTGAAGGAGGCAAGATATGGTATAAACAGAACACACATAAATGTAGCATTATTAGAATCAGTTCCCATTATCTTTCCTAGGTGTCTCTCCTCTTTGCCAATATTAACAGCCACAAACCACTTCTCCCCAGGAGAACTTTCCTGTAGTTGCTTTTGCTGATGGGTCTTTCATTATTTTCTCTCACATTCAAGCTGGGAACGAGGCACATTGTGGAAACCATGCAAGCTGCAGGGCACCGTGTCAACACCATCTTCATGTGTGGTGGACTGAGCAAGAACCCGCTCTTTGTGCAGATGCATGCAGACATCATGGGTGAGTTTGAGGATACAGTAAAGGCACACTATGCACGTTGCTGTTGTTTACAAAGCTGGGTCCTAATCCACTGCATCCTTCAGATAGACATTAAAATACACATCACCAGTTAATTCCTTTGATTTCACTGGGTTTGAAGGCAGTGAATTATCCTCTGGCTGACTGCCTCCAGGTTAGGCTTCCTTGTATAGGAATTACTTTATAGCTAGGATTTGTTAAATTATTATTTATTTCCTAGAGCTTGAATCTTACAACAGCTATGTTTGATTAAGATAAAGAGATCACATGACAGAAACAAAACAAAAACAAAAAGCATGCTTAATCTGTGAATACTGCCTGCGGTCCTTCGTGTGTAGCGGCCAGGGCAGACAGAGCACTAGCCATGTAGTCAGGAGATGCAGGGCTTCCCAAGGACTTGGAGGTTTCCTTCCCTCCCTTCTCACCTTATGCAAAGGAATCCCATCTTCCTTACTTTGTTTAATAGAAGCTGTTTACTGCAAAGGCAATTGGCATCATTATTATAAACCATGGCTAGCTCTAATCTCTAATGAAAGCACCAATGCTTCTTTCATTTTGGTGTCCGACAAAAGCATTTCTCTTCTCCACCCATGTTAGTAATTTGAATTAGTAATTTGAATAATTGATTTTAGATATCTGTTAATTTTATCAGGATGTTAGTGAATTAGTATGGTTGTCCATCTCACCCCGACATGTTTTAGAACAATTCTTGTTAATTGCTATACGCATTTTAATTATGGTTTTTAATATTTTGTTGTGCATATGCAATTTTCTGTTTGTTGTATGCCACCTAGATAGTATTTTTGGATTATTTGGCAGCTTATAAATACATAAATAAATAATCACTCAATCAGGGTTTTCCTATATACTGCTAGCACCAATGTACACATAGTGCCTAGGTTTGCAGATAGTGAGAATCCACTGCAGGTGAATTTTTTTACAGGGCTTTTTGTTGTGACAGGTGACTATTTGGGGACAGCTGGGTGCATGCCATAATCTTCCATTACAGTGTCTCCACTACGGTTCCAAAAACTCAAAACTGCTACCACCACCATCATGACAAGTCCATCATGGAAATTCACCCATGGTGGCTTCTCATTATTTGTTAGCCGGGCCAGAGCTACACTATAGTTAACACTAATTAGAAAATCAAATAGAAGTTCTCATGGGAAAGGGAAGTAGAGAACGAGGAGGGAGAATATAGCAACACTGTGTATGACAAAAATCTGCTGGAAACTTGTTTTTAATCAAATGCTCTAGACCTACCAATAACCTTATAGATGTCTATTCTGTTCATATATTCCTTTGGATTTTATTAAAATGGTAAAATATATTGGTACCTCATTTAAATAATTTATGCAGGATTGAATTCAATGGTGCCTTTTTGTAAGTGGAATGCTCTCAAATGCAGTGGCAATCTCTGATAATTAAGGAGGAAGGAAGTTGACTTTGTGAATTACACCTGCACTTGCCTGTGACACCTACACAGTTCTATGAGTAAAAGAATTTTTTGGTGGTTTATTAGTTAAAATGAACCGTTTTAGTAAACTAAATCTATGGCTGTGGGCTTACATTGAGAGCCGGCGTATTGTATTGTAGTCACAGTAGTACACTGGGATTCAGTAGCCTTGACCATGAGGCTCACTGAATGGCTTTCAACTAATCACTGAATCTCAACCTAACCTACCTTGCAAGATTGTTGTGAGGATAAAATGGAGAGAAGGCAGATCATGTACACAGCCTTGGACTACTTAGCAAAGAAGGCAGAATGAAAATGTAACAAATAAACAATGCTTAAGTAATATTCATACAAAGTAGGTATGCATCCCTTTAATTAGGACAGTTCACCCTGGTGTCTAAGTCTTTAATTTTTCTCAGGCCTGAGACTCAGTTTGCCTATTCTAATGAGCAAAAACTGGTTAAGTAAACACAACTTGCCCTATCAGGTGATATATTACTTTGGGCCCATATGACAATAATATTTATAGCAAATACAGTAACATGTTTGTAAGAGCAAACCCCAAGTTCAGCTAAACCCAGCCTGTTTTGGGACCCCCATTTAACTGTTATATGTAATATGTATTTCACCAGCAGAAAACGCATCAGTTTAGTTCTAAAGTCTTGAGCGGAAAAGACAACCATGGATTGTATAGCTTTATTTTTTGTCGTCGTCTTTTACTTAAGAGGAGCCAGTGTGGTTTAGATCAAGCTTAAGGCTTGGATTCTGTATATTTAGTGAGCAGATTAGCATCACTTGAACATCAAACCAGACTTCCTACCTTGATGCAGGAAGAAAGATGAAAATCAGCATTATGTAATTATATTTCATGAAAGCAGAAAAAGTGAACCAAATGACCCAAGGTCTTGACCCAGGCTAGAGATAGGCAACAGGCAATTGCCCCCATGATGCTTTCTATTTGTCAAACAAGATTATATCAAGTCCACACCTTTCCTTATCTAATTTAAATGGCCTTGGAATTGAGACCTGCTTTCTGATGTCTAAAATTAAAGATCTATTAATAGATAATTCTGATTAAATTTTAAACTGGAGTCCTTTGACTGTATCTAATAGCCAAGTACAATGTAGGACAAAGAGGCCTTTCTGCGGCCTTGGAATTTTTCCTGTTTGTAGGAACTGTGACTGACAGAGGATGTCAGAGTTCATCTGACTAAAATGCTCTTGGTTCTCTTGCCCTCATTAAAATCTATCTGATAAAATAGCTAACATTCCAGTATCAATCCCCTATTCTTCCAGGAAAAGACAGGGAAATTCTGAATATATTACTGTTAAATGCAAGCACCCATTAACCAATTATGCAGGCTACCAGTAGATAATTTCATAGATCCCTTAAAAGCCTTGGATTTGTATTGTTCAGATGGCAAGATGAATGTGTTCATTGTGAAGGCACTTGCAGAGTGGAATACCAGGAGCCAAGTTTTAAAGTACATTTAAAATGTGCTGGCTGTAAACTCAATTCTTAATTTAGCTCTCCAGTAAGTTTAAACAACTTTCTGTGTCAAAACATTTTTGCCACCCAGAACCTCCAGCTTCCATCTACACATTCCCTATGCCAGACCAAAATCCAATATCAGACACAACTGAGGAAAGATGGCACCCAAATGAGAGGTCGGGGCAGGAAAATAGTTGAGTACTTCTCTGCACCTGACCAATTATCTTTTTTTTATTGAACACTTCCTGCCTTCAGCTTAGTTCTGCCCTTAAATAGCTCATAAATGGTCTGCATATGTTCAGGGACTGTATAACTGAGTTGCTTTTTGCATGCACTGGGGTGAAGGTTGTTTTGGCAAGTTGGCAGGATCTGTTGTCCTGGCAATTTCCACTTTCTGTCTTAAATCTGATTGGTTTTTCATGTTCCTGAAAGTGTGGAAAATGCCCCCAAATGGTATCTGTATGTGGCACTTTATGGCTACACTACAGGTAATAAAGCAATCACACAGCACAGGTTACACATAAAATAATCCCGCAGTGGTTTTGTTTCAACTGTGTGAGTTCAACAGATGTGTTGTTTTTGCCTAGGCATGCCTGTTGTGCTGGCTGAAGAAGTAGAATCTGTTCTAATGGGTGCTGCTATTCTTGCGGCTTGTGCTTCTAAAGATTTTGCTTCTCTTCAGGTATGTAATCATGGAAGGCCTAAAAGTGAAAACCTGAACTTAGTGTTTTTCGTTTTCATGTTGCGCACTGGTGCGGTGCACGATGGGGCTGGGACTGCAGGTTCCGTTTGTTATGCTTTTAGCCATCTGTCTGCTTACTAAGTTGCTCTGGTTAGGTTAGATTGAGGAGATGGCTCACACGTGCATCCAGATATACTAGGAAGGTATATAGAAAGGCAATTAGGATCAGTGTTTATGGTTAATTAACCACTGGAATTTTTATTTTTATTTTTTACAACTGGACTTTGACAATATCATTGAGGAAATAGAGAATAAATTCTGAAAAGCAGATTCATCAGAAACATAAGCAGCAGAAAATTAGCAGGCATTCTAATTTGTCAAGCATTTCCATGTGCTTCATGGGTTGGCATGCACTGTATTAAATTATATTTAGTTGCTCACAAGCAAGAATAAAAATCAGATAATTTTCCATTGTAAGCTGCAATGGTGACAGTAACAAGTCTGGTCTTCTGGTATACAGTGTCGGAACACCACTGAAAGTAGTAGATTTATGCCATCTGTTGGTTTCATGTTTTTCCAGATGAAATGGAAGGACACTGCTTCTCAATTTAGACTAATTAGGAATAGCCAGCCCATTTCCTTCACTGAACATTTATTATTTAAAAAGAACCCTGTTTCCTGAAAATGAAGCATAGTGACCATCTTGAATCAGATTCATTGTTTCTTCACACAAAGAACATCTTGTCTAAATTTATTTTCAGTAATCATCCTTATATTGCACATGTGTATCTCAGAAGGCTGCTTAAACAGTTGCTCTGGATAATATGGTTCTCAAGAAGAGAACATTTTGCTTTGTAGAGTGCTTCTCCTAAGGAAGGAGAATTCCCACAGTGATTTGCTTCTGTTTCAATGAATAACTCCCGCATTTAAGCAAAAACGGATTTTGCTCTTCTTTGGCTGTAATCCTACACACCCTATCCTGGGAGTAATTCCCGCTGAACTCAGAGTTACTTAGTTCACTGTTGCTGTGGTAGCCCCAAATAAATACACTTTCGACTGTTGCTGCAATTTGCTCTTGAAATTCCACCCGCCTTTTTAGCACTATAGAGTCATTGAAAGTTCATTGCAAATAATGCAGGTTGAATCAGGTTGAATCCATACTTAGTGGAATGGGAGGTGGGGTACAGTTCCCCATCTCCCCTGTATTCATGTTCCCCCACACGCCTGTGTGCAGTCATATTTATTTATTTATTTATTTAAAACATTTCTTTGCCGCCCCCATCGCAACAAACCCTCGGGGTGGCTCACAAAGAATACATAAAAACATACATAAATAATAATAATAATATAACAATTAAAAAAACATTTAAAAACCCCCGGTGCATTCTCGGCTAAAAATTTTAAAATTCTAATTAATTCAATAATTTAGCAATTAAAATAAGTTTTAAATAAAAAGGTCTTAGCCTGGCGCCGAAAAACAAATAACAACGGCTCCAGGCGGACCTCTCTGGGGAGTGCATTCCATAGATGGAGCGCCACCGCAGAGAAAGCCCTCCTCCGGGTACTCACCCTCCTGATGTCATTCACAGATGGTTCCCGGAGAAGGGCATCTGCTGCTGATCTCAAGGGGCGGGAGGGCATATATGGGCGCAAGTGTTCCTTTAGATATCCAGGTCCAAAGCCGTTAAGGGCTTTATAGGTCAAAACCAACACCTTGAATTGGGCCCGGACTTCAATCGGGAGCCAGTGGAGCTGACGGAGAACTGGGGTTATATGAGAACAACGCCCAGTCCCCGTCAGCAACCTGGCAGCTCTATTCTGCACCAATTGAAGTATCCGGACCGTCTTCAAGGGTAGCCCCACGTAGAGCGCGTTACAGAAATCTAATTGGGAAGTTATCAACGTGTGTGTCACTGTCGCCAGGCAGTCGTTCTCCAGGAAGGGAAGCTGAAGGAAGGCGCTCCTCGCCACCGCCATCACCTGAGCTTCTAGAGACAGATATTCTCTCCTCGTATCAAAATTTGAGTGTCACGGAGTAAAGAACAGGAGAGGCCATGCAATATAACACTGAAGTGGTAGATGAAGCAAAGCGGAATTGACATTTTTGGAATACAGATTATGGGCATGCCTGATCCATCCAGATGCTTACCTGTGTTTGACACTGCTGCAAAATCGGTTACAGGAAATTTTGCAATTTAATTTGCTAAGTTTCTATATGTAGGTGTGAAGTCTAGACTTCATTTAAACTATAACTTAAAGATTTCACTTTTAGATAATTCTATGAAGGAGGAACATACACACATATGTGCGCATGCGTTTACACACACACACACACACACACACACACACACACACACTTCTCTAACACCTGCCCTCCATATGCTTACTCTTTCAAAGACCTGAACAGCCGTCTGTTCTCTTCTCTTATTTCCATGTTCCCACCACAACCAACACTAGCAAAAGAAAACGAAAACAGTTGTTATCTTCATGCATGTATATCACGTCCAATGCCCTAGGGGACCCAGGATCTGTTGCTTCCTAATCTCTGGTTTATCTCTAGAGCCTCCAGAGAAGAAAAGATAAATCTGTATGAACATAAGTTCTGCTGTTTATTATTCTTTTCATTTCTTCAAGGCCTGCCTTTGGCATTTTCTTGACAATGTGGCTGCACGTTCCAACGCGCCCCCCCCCTCCCAGAGACATGCAGTGAAATAGCCTGTTGTATCCTGTGTGGCACAGTGTGGATGATTTGTTGTTCATCAGACATGATTGCTGCACAGTTAGTATTCTAGTTAGCGCATTTATGATGGGTGCTTTTTCATAAATAGGGAACAAGGAAAGTGCTTTCTTGGCCTCACCATGCTCAGGTTCATAGTTGGTTCACAAGTATTTTGGATAAACTTAGGCTGAGGAACAAAACACTCTAGTAGAATAATGTCTGAGCTGGAGTATGAGGAAAAATTTTCCAGGACTTACTCCATTTCTCTATACTGAGAGTTGGCAATAGATTCAGTATACCAGCCTTTCCCAACCTGGTGCGATCCAGATGTTTTGGATTTCAACCTTTGTCAGTCCCAGATCTGACAGAGCACTAGGCTGGGGAAGGTTGCCTTACAGTCTTTATGGCCTGAAGTTGTGGTCGTTCCTCTTATGCTTCTGTCCCCGAGTTGCTGGATGATTGTGTACATTGCTGTGTGGTTTTTAGATGAAATTAAATGCTCTACCTCCAGTATGTGACTTCAGAGCCCATTTGCTGCATTTCCTTTGCTATGTGGGACTAGAACTATAGAATTTGCAATCAGTAAGTGGCTTACAAAAAGAAGCAGTTTTCCATAGCCTTTTCCCCTGAACCTCCTCCCCTACCAGCTGCTTTCCCTCATATCGTGTCCCAAAGGATAGATTGGAACTCTCTACTGGGTTCGGGAGTGTTAGACTGCAAGAGAAAGTAGTGGCTGAGGCTAAAAGTTTAAATATTGCTTTCCTCCACACTATTTCTCCACTGTAAATAGTGTCCTTTAGTCTCTGTGTTGCAAAGAAGTATGGTGACTAGATTCCGAAGGCACATACGAGAAGCACATTGTGTTCTGCATTAGATTGGGTGACTGAGAATCCATCCCTAGTTTAGCAAAACAAACTAGTCAAGTATCACTTGAATCTGTAGTTATATTTAAATGAAAATGTGGAAGAAAAAGAACCTGGCAATCATGCAGTTTTATTCCCCACCATAGCTAACTTTTTAAAAATAGAGCATTAATAAATGCTTGGATCCAGGATTGTTGTTATTATTTTATGAAAACCATGCAGTTTATTTTTTCTACTGTGCATTAAATCAGTATGGTAGTGTTTATGAAACTGAACAATCAACTTTTCCCCCCTTAAAGTGGACTTTACTGGCAAAGAACTGTGTACAGAGTGTGGAGAAGGAACTGACCATAATTTCCTGGAGCCAGTGAAACTGTTGAGATACAGAATTAGGTGAAAATAGCATGGGAGTTAAAATAAGCAGATTGTAGCTTAGTAGCATTTCTCCCCAATCCTAGATTGATCAGAAGTACCAATCTTGCAATGATAGGCCTTTTTCTCATTATGAACCTTTGAAATTCCTCTTAATAACAGCTTATCTAGTGAGTCATTAGTTACAGTTTAAATAGTTAATTTTAATCATAGTCTTCTCATGTGGAAAGGATGTTTAGCGACAGTGGTAATTTGGCTTGGTTACAAAAGATGCTTGGATGCTCAAGCAAACAAATGGGACTTTCCTCTTTAACATTAATTGATTCAAGCAGTGCTGTGCATAGAGGGGGTGCTGCATCAGGGCATCCCACAGCAGTGGCATGAATGGAAGTGCTCCCACCCACTGCTTGTCGTTTTCATGTAGGGCATTTCCAACTTAACAGAGAAGTTACCATTCATTGCAACGTTTGTAATATTAGGACTTCGACGCATGCAAGTCTGTAAGTGTGCCAATCATGGTGACAACAAGACTGTGTCACAACCTTGTTCATATGCAATTCCTTTTTAACCTTTAACTACCTAGTAACAATCTTGAACTAAATGGGCCACTAGTAGATTGCTGAAGTCCTTTGATACATAATTGTGGGTTATGCTGGGATCACCTACACTTGCTAATGGGGAGGGTATGATCCTGTGTATGGGCAGAAATACAAAGTTCTCTCCTGACTGTCAAATTTATAATTTCTTCACCAAACAGGTCACTTCATATCCTTTCTCAGGGCAGGAGCTGAAAGGCTCAGCATCTCCATCAGTGCTAAGATGGGGGAACTGCCCACTGGAATAAAGGTAGCTGAGATAGCAGCAGAGCAGCTGGGTAACTAGAGCAAGAATCTTGAGCCAAGGTACTGTCCAAAGAGATGCTTGCCCCGAGCAACGGGCAGTCCTCCAGTCAGCCTTAATACCTTGCCTTTTCCTGGATCACCACAGGATCCTAGTTCAGAGCATGCATCAGTTCATGCTGACTCCTTTACAATCATGTTCAGAAA